GTATAATATTCGAATGATGGCTAAGTTTAATGATACACAAGATAATATTACAGAAGCCTTAGCCGAAGCAGAAAAATTTACATTATCTCAAAAGAGTGTGCTATCTTCTTTTCTAATTTTTCTAACAGCCAACCCTTATGCAAATACTAACAAATCAGGAATGACTAAAACTGAAATCATGAATTTGATAAAAACTGCAATGGCATTCTCAGAGTCTCAAACGGCTCAACAAAATACTGATTTGCGGTCTACTATTAAATCCTTCCAAGAGACTATGTCTCGAGCGACTAAAACTCTAGATAATAGTAAAAAATCATCTAAGAAGAGAGTGGAAGATATTGGTATTAATCACGTTTTGAGTGACTTATTAAGAAAAAATCCAGGTAAACACCCTGCTGATGAATATGATCATGATCCTATAGAGGATATTTCAGATAGTTTAGCAAGATTAACATTAAATAGTATCATAAAAACTGCTATTAAACGTGCTGTTAAGAAATTAACAGGTCACAAATGCTCCACCTGCGGAAGATCTGAACATAATTCCTGAAACTGCCCTTGAAAGAAAAAAAAAAGCAGGAAGTTTAAAAAGGGTAAAGTTAATCTCGCTACTGTAGATTCAGATTCAGGTTCGAGTATTTCTTTCGATATTTCTTCTAGTAATAGTTCTAATACAAGTTCTTCTAATTCTTCTAATTTTTCTGATTCTGAAAACAATATCACTATCAACATCGCCAAGACAAAAAAAAAGTGAAGCAAGACTCTAATTCCAAGAAATCATCCCGTAAAAAGATATCTAAAACTTTATTGGAGGAAACTATTTGTAAAGTCCTCCAAAGTGAACTTAAATTAAATTTTTCTGATCATTTCTTCCAAGACTCTATTAAAGCTAATATACCGAATCAAGCGCCTCTAATCCAAGAAAAGATAGAATCTCAAAGCAATACTTCTCTAATTACCGAGATTGTATCACTAGATCCAGATGAGAAAGAAGATTTGGATAGTCCAATGGAGATTGATTTCGTTAAGAAGAAGGAGCCGAAAACAAGTGTTGCTACTGTAAAGTATAAAATCAAATGTTTAAAGATTCCTGCCATGACAGTCGACTCTGAAGCTGAACCGCCCATTATAACAGAAAATATCGTTAAACGTGTAGGAGCTAAAATTGATAAATCTGAAACACATGATCTTAGTGGTATTGCTACTGTTCCGGTTGAATCTGTTGGGGTTGTTCGCAAATTACACATTATTCTAGCCCCAGGCTGTACTATCCATAAAGATTTTATTGTTGTAAAATATCAGAAGCTGACGTTAATATTTTCTAATCAGCTTTTGAAAAAATATAATTGCGTATTGGATTGGAAAACCAATAAGCTAAAAATTCCTCTTAATAGAAAAGATTAGATTATCTCAATCACTATGCATAAGGTCAAAAACAAGCTTGAGGTAAATTGCGCAAACATAACTCCGGATTGAGACAATTTCTCGACTCTGAATAACATATCACAGGACTTACAGGAGTTAAGTGGATATGATGATATATTTAAAAAAAACACATGACCTATGAGAAGCTTGAAAAAATATTATATACCACTCTCATTTCTGAAACTAAATTAATTGAGATTAATAAAAACCTCTGATCCCTTTTTTCATGTTAACTATTATTAGAGTACTTTTGCTGAATATAATGGGCTAAAAGATGAGTTATGAGCTAGGCATTTTTCTGATTCACATATAGCTTCTTCTGCTTCGATATGATTTTTTCTAATTGAAGCAATTAGATCATATGAGATGTCTAGTAAGGAATTTTGGCAGGAGCCTTCGGTTGAAATCTCAGGTAAATCAGAAATTTAAATGGGTTTGGGTTTTGATAACTTCTTTTTCTTTTTTTGCTTTTCTTGTACACGATCCAAGAAGGACCCACCTGCCTCAATGAATTTAGAAAATGAAGGAATCCTAGACGAACTAGATAATTTACTTGTAATTGACTCATCTAACAACTTTAAAGATTTTATATTTGAATAATTGTTTTCTTTTTCTTGGAGTCATTTTCTGAAAGAGAGACTGATGAGATAGATTGTACTTTTCTAAGCTCCTCGAAAAAGTGGTTTCTATTTTGCTGTGAACACTTACAATCATTCCATATATCATGAACACGATCTTTATTAATATGGTACTCATTTACTATCATGTATACCAGAACCTTATTTTTGAGATATCTAATTTCTTCAATTTGTCTAGGTGTTAAAATGGTGGCACCCTACCAATAATGGGTTTTTAAAATCAAGGTAGACATAATCTTCTGATATTTTTAGACAGTGTATTTAGATGCATAAAAAATATTAGATATTAATATTTATCAT